CCCCAAAACCCCAAAACCCCAAAACCCCAAAACCCCAAAACCCCAAAACCCCAAAACCCCGCTATATGTGCTGCTAATTGATAATTATTTTTAAGCAATGAACACAAATAGAGGCGTTGGCTCGAGAGTAAGTCAATTAGAGCTACATTATTGAAAACTTATGAAACTGAAGCCACTGTAGTGTCATAAAAACCAATAGATTCTTTCCCCATTTTAGGACAAAATTAAGGGCATTACCTCTACTTTTAATCCATCATATGATGGTTTAAGAAATTCAGATTAATAATGACTCCAGGCTTTGTAGAATTATGAATCTGTTTGAAAGATTTCGAATGTTACTAATTTACTGAATTTTAGAGACTTGGCGTTGACTACTTTCAAAGTAACCTAACTGGTAAGTTCAAAACAAAACTAGTTTTCCCAAATGGTTTCCTTACCTACTGTAAATATAGGGCAAGCATTTGCTCATCAAAGAAGAAAGTCTACCATTGTACCTGATATGTGTAACAAATACTAAATAATTAATAGTTCTTATGAAATCAATCAAAACAATGATTAGAAATATGCGCAAAAGGAAGAAATCAGCCGACGTTGAGGTGCCGGTCGTGAAGAATCCTTATCTGGAGAAGATAAGATGTCAATCAGTAGGACACCCCCTTGACACAATTCCTGAGTTTTGAAGGTTAGATATGGTCACTAAGAAAGGCAAAAGCTTCCTCCCAGATATCAAGATAAAGGGTAAAAATGAATTACTAAATGAAAGAGTAATGAAAGAATTCTTTGAGAAGGTAAGCTGACAATATTACTTCTAGGTCTTTCATAATGATTCAGTCAATTTTCTTCATGTAAGATTTGTCATGCTAACTCTTAGAATCAAATCAAAGATTTAAATAAAAAGAAAGACGAAAAGCTACAAAATGTAGAGATGGCAATGACCTTAAAGCCAGATATGAATAAGTCTGATCTCATGAGAGCTAACAGCATCAGAAAGTATAAATAAAGAAATTAAGAGGTTATCTAAGATTGTCGAGGAACTAGAAGGTAAATATTATTATCATTTAAAATAGGTAAAAATCCTTTCAAAGATGGAGAATTTGCAAACCTCATTTCGTCAATCCACCACCAAGAATTTTTTAAGACAGATTTCAAGCTTGGGTCTATTGACTCAGAGCTTGAAAATTTAACTAATAAACAGAAGATCCACCTCTTGGATCGTGTAATAGAGAGGTTTGATGAGGTAGACTTAGAAAAACAGAAACAATTCATTTGTAAGTTCATGCTAATTTGTAAGGTGATAATCGAACAATAAACAAGGTTTATATATCAAAAGATAGTTTAAATCAAAAGCCTGTTAAAGAGAGGTAACTATAGCCATTAAATACCTCTAGGATTTCTCCAAACAAGCATTTCTTCATGAAGAGAAGGCAGAGACTCACCAATATCAAAATTGAACAGTTGGATGATGTGTCAGAATCAGAGGATATTGAATCTAAAGAGTTTGATTTCTCTCCAGCCGCAAGCATTATGTCGACGTAATTTGTGAAAGTTAAGTTATAGACAATTCAAAAATAGCAAGGTACAAATTAGTAAAAGAATGAAGAGCAAAGCAATCTATATAAAGAAGACAGTTATACAAAAAGAGAAGGAAAGATTCAAGCCATATGAGGTGAATAAACTCAATAGTAAAATTAAAGATATAGTATTTAAGCATTAATTTTATTCTTCCCAATTGGGGTTTTGGGGTTTTGGGGTTTTGGGGTTTTGGGG